AGTGGTGATAATGATTATGGTGGTGGTGGTTTGTCGTGGTGATGATGATGATTATGGTCTCCTGGAACGGTTTTCCATGTTGAATGGAACATTAAAGTTCTCAAATGGCTCTGTGTCTGTGTTAGACTCTGTTTGTTCGCAGGATCACACACACAGTTACAAAAAGATCCCCCGTGTAGCCTCTAGCAGGTTGTAGGGGAAAGTGCTGTTAGTTAACAGCACCTATGAAAGCTACCGGCCCTGTGGCACACGAGGGGGTGGGTGGCCAGCACCACGCCCGGCCGCCTTTGTCTCCCCAGTCCTAGCGATGTTCACTACACACCGCTACACCAGGTACTCATTTGAGCCTGAGTCTACCTAGAGGAGGTCTGGGATCATTTCAGATAATCGTCGCTGATGGTGTTAGTGGCCTTGAGTGGGAATCAAACTCGGGTCACCGGGTTCGTAGCGCAGTGTAGCGCTAACCACTACAACAACAACCGCCATTCGCCACTAAGTGGCGGTGACATCACCACGACGCTTGTGCCAGGCCATGTGCACCTTGAAGCCACGTGAAGTGTCGAACGCCCGCTGGCAGGAGGTCACGGGGCAGATCCAGCAGGTGCCACGGGTCGACTGACCGAGATGACCGAGATGACTGGCTGATGCACCACCTGTGCCCCCTAGTGTGCCAACTTGCTGTGCTTTAGTCACCCGGCGCTCCGCTCGTTGTTGTGAGCGTCGCTCCTCCGCCCTCCGTTGTTGTTGGAGGGCGACTGCCTCCAACTGCCCAGTAGCGTCCTTCACGAGCCTCCTCCACTGAGGCCGATCTTGACACCGCTGGTACCAGTCAACGGCAAGTCCGCTCAGCTCCACGTCCTCCTGTACCACATCACTCCATCTCCTCTCTAGCCCGTGCCGCGCCCGTTTAGCCCCCTCGATCCGGCCGAACAAAAGCTACCTGCTACACCACCGCTCCCACACACAGACAGACACAGTCACACAAATACACACAACAACCTCCATTGGCCACTCAGCGGCGGTGACGTCACCACGCCGCTCGTGCCAGGCCAAGTGCACTTTAAGGCCACGTGAAGCGTCCAAACGCCCGCTGGCAGGAGGCCACGGGGCAGAACCAGACCTGGGAATTCCTGGGAACCCGACGTCCTTCTAAGGGCCTGGTCTATTAGGGGGTCAGCAGTCGGAACCTGGGAACCGCCAGAACCGACGTCCTTCTAAGGGCCGGGACTGAGTGGGACCAGTGGGCGGAACCTGGGAACCGACGTGACCGACGTCCATCTAAGGGCCGGGGTTGTAGTGGGTCAGTAGCCGGAACCTGGGAACCGACGTGACCGACGTCCATCTAAGGGCTGGGGTTGTAGTGGGTCAGTGGTCGGAACCTGGGAACCGCTGGGACCGACGTCCATCTAAGGGCCGGGGTTGTAGTGGGTCAGTGGTCGGAACCTCGGAACCCGACGTCCTTCTAAGGGTCGGGGACTGAGTGGGTCAGTGGGCGGAACCTGGGAACCGCTGGGACCGACGTCCATCTAAGGGCCGGGGTTGTAGTGGGTCAGTGGTCGGAACCTCGGAACCCGACGTCCTTCTAAGGGTCGGGGACTGAGTGGGTCAGTGGGCGGAACCTGGGAACCGCTGGGACCGACGTCCTTCTAAGGGCCGGGGTTGTAGTGGGTCAGTGGTCGGAACCTCGGAACCCGACGTCCTTCTAAGGGTCTGGACTGAGTGGGTCAGTGGGCGGAACCTGGGAACCGACGGGAACCCGACGTCCTTCTAAGGGCCGGGACTGAGTGGGACCAGTGGTCGGAACCTGGGAAGCCCCAGACCTGCGGTCCTTCTAAGGGCCTGGTCTATAAGGGGATCAGTAGTCGGAACCTGGGAACCGACGGGACCGACGTCCATCTAAGGGTCTGGACTGAGTGGGTCAGTGGGCGGAACCTGGGAATTCCCGGAACCGACGTCCTTCTAAGGGTCTGGACTGAGTGTGCCAGTGGTCGCGACCCGGGTCGGGTCAGAGAGCGTCCCCCTAAGTCCCCTCAGCCGGAGGAACGTGAGTGTAGTCCCAGTCGTTAGGACACGCTTAGCCCGGAGGCTAAACCTCAACCTTGAGTTGAAGCTTTCGTGAGTGCAGGAATCCACTCTCTCTTTGGTTCTTTCGGCAAAGTCACGTGGGTAGGAATATAAAACAGAGGTCGCAAACGGGTTTTGATTCCTTACCCGTACCCGTACCCAGCCGCACCAGGGTCGCAAATGGGTACCCGTACCCTACTCGATACCCGGCTACCCGTACCCGGCCGGGTACGGGTACCCGTTCCGTACCCGAACCCTACCTGAAATGAGTGACTCACGGCCTACCCATACCCGGCCGCACCAGGGTCGCAAACGGCTACCCGTACCTGGCCGGGTATGGGTAGCCAGGTACGGGTAGGGTACGGGTATCGGGTACCCGATTGCGACCTCTGGGATGAAGCCATGTTGCAGGCGCGGGTGGGTTGATTCTAGGAACTTGAATTGTGAGAAGAGACAAGACGTTGGGAAATGAGTGACAAACGGTGACTCACCAGTGACTCACGGCCTACCCGTACCTGTACCCGGCCGGGTACGGGTAGCCGGGTATCGGGTAGGGTACGGGTATCGGGTAACCGGTAGCGACCTCTGATATAAAATGAATGACGACGTTTCGGGCGCGACACAGGCGTCAGTCATCAGGCGTGAAAGCGTTGGTCTGCCGCTGAGGCAGCAGAATGTTGTGAAAGGTTTGAAATGTGTGTAGCACAAGGGTCATAAAGAAGTGGGCGGGGCTGGTGATGTTAATGTGAGAGATTAGCGTGATGTTAATGTGAGAGATTAGCGTGATGTTAATGTGAGAGTTTAGCATGATGTTAATGTGAGAGATTAGCATGATGTTAATGTGAGAGATTAGCGTGATGTTAATGCGAGAGATTAGCATGATGTTAATGTGAGAGATTAGCATGATGTTAATGTGAGAGATTAGCATGATGTTAATGTGAGAGATTAGCATGATGTTAATGTGAGAGATTAGCATGATCTTAATGTGAGAGATTAGCGTGATGTTAATGTGAGAGATTAGCGTGATGTTAATGTGAGAGATTAGCATGATGTTAATGTGAGAGATTAGCATGATGTTAATGTGAGAGATTAGCATGATGTTAATGTGAGAGATTAGCATGATGTTAATGTGAGAGATTAGCATGATCTTAATGTGAGAGATTAGCGTGATGTTAATGTGAGAGATTAGCGTGATGTTAATGTGAGAGATTAGCATGATGTTAATGTGAGAGATTAGCATGATGTTAATGTGAGAGATTAGCATGATCTTAATGTGAGAGATTAGCGTGATGTTAATGTGAGAGATTAGCATGATGTTAATGTGAGAGATTAGCGTGATGTTAATGTGAGAGATTAGCATGATGTTAATGTGAGAGATTAGCGTGATGTTAATGTGAGAGATTAGCATGATCTTAATGTGAGAGATTAGCGTGATGTTAATGTGAGAGATTAGCATGATGTTAATGTGAGAGATTAGCGTGATGTTAATGTGAGAGATTAGCATGATGTTAATGTGAGAGATTAGCGTGATGTTAATGTGAGAGATTAGCATGATGTTAATGTGAGAGATTAGCATGATGTTAATGTGAGAGATTAGCATGATGTTAATGTGAAATCGAAGAGTGGTGCAATCCAAAGGGCATGTGAGTATCACTAGCCCCGGTCAATTATTTCAAACCTTTCACAACAGTGTGCCTCAGCAGCAGACGATGGCTTTCACACCTGATGATGGACACTTGTTTTGTGCCCGAAACGTCGTCATTAATTTTACTTCTATACCTACTTGACAAACCACTGGAGCCCATCCGGTGTGTGTTGGAGAGTAAATGCACGAGGCGTCGTGATTTTACTTGAGTGCCATTTTTTATTCAATCGGGTAACGTTTGTCTATTGCTGGGACAGATTAAGATTCGGTAACATTTTTACGTTTGAAATATGCGTCGTAAAAATTAACTGTTTAAAATCCTGTAGGGGGGGTCACACATTTTTATTGTCGGCACTGAACCGCATCTCTACCCGTTTCTCTCCACCGCTACCCCCTTTCTCTCCACCCCTACCCCCGTCTCTCTACCCCTATCTCTCTACCCCAATCTCTCTACCCCAATCTCTCTACCCCAATCTCTCTACCCCAATCTCTCTACCCCAATCTCTCTACCCCAATCTCTCTACCCCAATCTCTCTACCCCAATCTCTCTACCCCAATCTCTCTACCCCAATATCTCTACCCCAATCTCTCTACCCCAATATCTCTACCCCAATCTCTCTACCCCAATCTCTCTACCCCATCTATCTCTCTACCCCAATCTATCTACCCCAATATCTCTACCCCAATCTCTCTACCCCAATCTCTCTACCCCATCTATCTCTCTACCCCAATCTCTCTACCCCCATCTCTCCCCCCCTATCCCTCCACCCCAATCTCTCTACCCCAGTCTCTCTACCCCAATCTCTCCCCCCCCTATCTCTCTACCCCTATCTCCCCCCCCCATCCCTCAACCCCAATCTCTCCCCCCTTATCCCTCACCCCCATCTCTCCCCCCTATCTCTCCCCCCCATCCCTCTACCCCTATCTCTCCCCCCCCATCTCTCCCCCCCCATCTCTCCCCCCCCATCTCTCCCCCCTATCTCTCCCACCCCCTATCCCTCTACCCCTATCTCTCTACCCCTATCCCTCTGAACCACTATCCAACCCATGCCCCATCTCTCCCCCACCACCACCCCCACCACCACCCCACCACCCCCCCACCCTCACCCCCCCCCACCACCACCACCACCCCCCACCACCACCCCACCACCACCCCCACCCCCCCCCACCACCCCCACAACTCCCACCCCCACCACCCCCACCCCCCCCACCACCACCACCACCCCCACCCCCCCCACCCCCACCACCCCCACCCCCCCCACCCCCACCACCCCCCCCCACCCCCCCCCCCTCAGCTGCTCTTACGGCCGGAACCTGAACCCTGAACCTGCGTCGCTGCCGTCCCCTTCGCAGTCGCCGCGGTTGCCGTGGCAGCCGTCGCCGCGGTCCCCGTGGCAACCGTCGCCGCGGCAACCGTCGCCGTGGCGGCGAGGTTGGCCATGATGAGGGCGGTGCGCGGGGTGACGACCGCCTGGCGGAAGCCGCGGCCGTAGCGGCCCCGCCCACTATCCGACCTCGCCACCTTGGCCCCGCCCCCTTTTGCCCTAGGCCCCTCCCCTTCCGGCTCTGGCTCCTCCCCTTCCGGCTCCTCCCCCTCGCGGTGGTGCAGGGACAGCGTGGAGGAGGTGGTGGAGGAGGTGGTGGAGGAGGTGGAGGAGGCGGGGGAGCGGAAGGAGGAACGCGAGATCCCCGCGGAGGTGGAGGAGGTGGATGAGATTCTCGTGGGTGAGAAGGAGGTCCCCGCGGAGGAGGTGTGCCCCACGGAGGAGGAGGTCCCCACGGAGGAGGAGGTCCCCACGGCGGAGGTGGTCCCCACGGAGGAGGAGGCGGATATTCCGGGTGAAACTCCACAACTTCCCGGAGAAGCCTCGGAGGTTCCCGCCGAATCGGCCGTCGAATCCTCCGAGATTCCGCAGGGGATCGACAGCCGGCAACGGCCTCCCGCCGTGGAATTCCCGGAGCGACGTTGGAGGTTCCCGGAGCTCTTGCGGGAACGCCCGGGGGCAGTTTGGGAGTTCCCGGAGAGGTCGTCTTGGCGGTTCTCTGCGAGGCCACTTCGGGGATTCCAGGAGAAAATTTGGGAATTCCCGGAGTTTTGTTGGAGGTTCCCGGAGATTCTTTGGGAACGCCCGGGGGGAGTTTGGGAATTCTCGGAACGGTCGTCGTGAGAATCCCCGGAATTTTGTGGGGAATTTTCGGAATTTTGTGGGGAGTTCCCGGAGTTTTGTGGGGAATTCCTGGAGAAAAATTGGGAATCCCCGGAGCGGTCGTCTTGAGAATTCCCGGAAATTTGCGTGGAGTTCCCGGAGTTTAGCGGGGAGTTGCCGGACGCTTTTCGCGTGGAGTTCCCGGGGGGCGCCCCCCACACGGCTCCGATGAGCACGGGCGGCAGGCTGATGGGGCGGAAGGCGCGGTGGTGGTGCCCCTGGGGACGCTGACGCACCCTCACGCTGCCTCCGAGGGCTGCTGATGACGACGATGATGGCGAAGACTGAGAAGGCAGCGATGGCAACGAGGGGAAGAACGGGAAGCGAGACGTCGGCATTGGTGGCCGTGCAGCTGATGATGATGCTGATGACGCTGCTGGAACTCCCACTGATGATGATGATGATGACGCTGCTGGAACTCCCACTGATGATGATGATGATGACGCTGCTGGAACTCCCACTGATGATGATGCTGATGACGCTGCTGGAACTCCCACTGATGATGATGATGGTGACGACGATGATGCCGATGCTGCTGATGATGCTAGAACTCCCAATGCTGATGATGATGGTGACGACGATGATGCCGATGCTGCTGATGATGATGATGCTGGAACTCTCACTGCTGATGATGATGATGGTGACGACGATGATGCCGCTGATGTTAACGATGCTGCTCGTACTCCCGCTGCTGCTGATGATGATGCCACTGATGATGATGATAATGCCGCTGCTGATGATGATAATGCCACTGCTGATGATGATGATGTCGATGGTGGAAACGCTGACGCGGGCTGGATGGAGAGGGGTTGATGGGGGCCGAGTTGGTGATCGCGGTGCGGGAGTTCCACGGCTGTGAGAGAGACAAAGATGGAGGTGAAGGTGAGACAGACAAAGCTCCCTACGGGTAAAGTCTCTAGCGGGCTGTAGGGGCAAGGGCTCACTCGCCCACTCACTCACTCACCTACTCACTCACTCACCTACCCACTCACCCACCCACTCACTCACCCACCCACTCACCCACCCACTCACTCACTCAATCAATCACCCACCCCTTCACTCACTCGCTCACCTCACCCATCCACCCACCCATTCACTCACTCGCTCACCCACCCACTAACTCACCTCACCGAC